ATGTAGGGACTAAACAAGATCCTGATTTTGTTATGAACGAATACAGGAAAAAACAGTTAAAATTATATACTATACAAATATTTTGAACGACAATACAAAGTCTCTAAAAGAATAAACTTGTAATATTGATCGAGTGATCTTGAAAGTTATAAATATTGTTCGGACAAGAGCAATACATCATCTAAGTAAAGCAGAGGAGGCGGGGGTCGCGGTGTCTACACAAGGGACTGAAAAATTGAAGGAAAAGGGTTCAAAGTACTACAAAAATAAAGATTTATCACGCGTGATACATTTCCTTTTCTAAAAAAATGGAAACAAGAAAATATTTCTACACGGGGATCTGATAGAAGCCTCAGGAGATGACTAGAAGGTGAAAAGGGATAGAAGAGTGATTCCTTAACTAACTACATCGAATCCCGTTTTGGACGGATAAGTTCCATGGCCAAGTACAACAAACCAAACAACGAATCTATTATACTTTCGATTCGTTTCATGTATCTATTGTCGATGTTAGGNAAATGGAAACAAGAAAATATTTCTACACGGGGATCTGATAGAAGCCTCAGGAGATGACTAGAAGGTGAAAAGGGATAGAAGAGTGATTCCTTAACTAACTACATCGAATCCCGTTTTGGACGGATAAGTTCCATGGCCAAGTACAACAAACCAAACAACGAATCTATTATACTTTCGATTCGTTTCATGTATCTATTGTCGATGTTAGGCTTTCCGTAATAAGCATTTATATATAGCACCCTATCTAAATGGATAAAATACAACATTTTGATTTTTAGGTGAACCTTTTGTGGTAAATCGTAAATCGAATCAAGATACATGAAACATTTATAACAATTCAATTGACATTCAATTATCTGTACAAAAATATATCTCGTCTACTAACTAACTAAACCAATATAATGGTTTTTTCCGTTCTCTCCAACGTTCAATATAATTTGATTTACAACCCGCGACACGCCCGCTCCTTTAATCACAACTTTAATAATATTTTGTGGATGCTCTACCAATATTGTAAGCTAAGATTTCGATGTGAAAATGACAAAAAATATTAAAGTAATAAATAATATGTTTTTAACACAAGCAATCAGTCAATTGACATATGGAGAACATAAACTACAATAAGTATGTATATTATGTTTTAGTATGAATCGCTTTAAAATCAGTCACGCGCTTATCTTGTTGTAACCCTGGAGACGAGGGACCCTTTGTGTCCGCAGTTGGAACCCCATTCCGTAAAATTGACTTGGAGTAAATGCAAAAATAATTAGTTGACCAATTCGTGGAGTCGCCCTTGTCTTGCATGCTTACTCGTTCACCCGATTTTGCCTACCCGACCTCTTGACTCTTGATAACTGATTTATTGAAGTCATTTTCCTTTAATTTATAAATTAACGATTTCAGTTTTCTTATTACTATATCAATTGATTACCAAAATTTCGCAGCTAAGAAAGCTGCCTGACATCAGTTTCCTATGGTATGGTATCCCTTGAATGGGCAAAACAGCATGTGAATGTGGTGTGATATTGGGAATTTAAAGTTGGAAAATGATATGCATATGTAGTAATATACTACCAAACAGAGAGTAATAATCACCATGTCAATTAATGTCTTAAAAGAAACTTCCCTACAACTGAAAATTTGCAAACGATAACTACATAGATTTGAACCAGCCATCCCATGGCTAAGAGCAGACATGAGCATGAGTTGTTTAGGATACTTTCCTTGTCAGAAATTTATGTTAACTGTACGTCAAATCATGTTTTGACTAAAATACCTTTTCACATTATTCTATTACTCACACTTCGTTTCCAGACTGAATTACTGTCAGGTTTACAATTAGATTTTGTTTTCAGAGGGAACATGAGATGCTGCAGCAAATTTATAATAGCATTTTAATTTCATTTACTCTTTGAACATGGCATATGATGATTATTTATATATTGCGATGATATTTGGCACAAAGAATAGAATAATTCATGATTACAGTCTAGTATAATAATTTATTGAGAATGCATTGAAGTATTTACAATCATAAGATGGTTATTGCTACAGATTTTGCCTTCAGACCTGTGTTTGATTAGTTTCTTTGCTTTCCCAGCTATTGACGAGTTTTAATGTTTTGCAACAAAATATTTAAAAAATCGTTCTTTTCCATTTTACATGAAAGCAGTAAAAATAAAACAAAAGACGAAACATTGAATGAATTTAAGTCTTGGGGTATCAATGTTAAAGGTTGAATTTTGATGAAGGACGAAAATAAGGTTTTTTTTATTTTTTTAAATTAATTAACCATTTAAAAAATTAATTCATACTCTAATTTTTTGTCATTTTCACTATTTCTTTATTTAAAAAAGACAACAAGTCGCTCCAATATTGGTGATTTCCAATTCTATCGTTATCTTTATAATTAGAAAACAATGATACACAAGAAACAATAGGAACTCAATTATCCAAAGCCTGATTTACTCTCGAACATTTCTTTGTTCGTTGCAAAATTCCTTAGCAAATACATTTTTCATACAAAATCCCGTCCGTCTCTAAGCGGACGTCTAGAATTGACATCGAATATTACACGACTCATTTTAAGCTATGATACATCCTTTATTAAATTTACGAATTTAACATCTATACAAAATATACGGGGTATAAATAGCTAACTTGGACATTTCGCGTACTGAACGGAATAGTAGCACAAGTCAAAAGTTTACACTCTGAGGATATAGGACTTCAACACATTCACTGCTGTATGACCCACATAGAACTTTCTTGCGGCCCGGTTTTAAAGATCATGTTCTTTCACCAATATAAGTCCGCGCAAGCCACTTTCTCATTTTACTTTAAAAGTAAATATAAATTTCATTACTAATCTAGGAACACGTCACAGTTGTTTTCCTTCAAAGAGTGTGGTCAAGTTATACAAACCTTATAAAGCGAAAATACGTTAGTTAGTTTTGCAAATGATTGAGCGCCAAACGCACTGATTGAAAGATGTACACCGAGAACGCGCGCATTATTTTCTGCATCGAACTTTCAAATATTTAATGTTGAAATTTGGTTATTATGTTTATACTCTTTTTATTTTTAGTCACAGTTTTGGGAATTCAAATTCAACTTGCGTTACTATTGGATTCATTCGGCGATTTGTTTAAGGGAATTTCATACCGAGATAATTTTTGAAGACAGGAACTATTTAATGAACTGTAACATCTTCTTTGACTATTAAATATGAACCTTACCTTCGAATGTTAATTATAATAACTTTCATTCGTGGTCCAATTAGTGGTCCAATATATCTGTTTTTGCCGATTAATTATTTAATATGAATTTCCCTGAAACTTACACAATAAATACTAAACATCTAGCATAAACTCATCCATCTCACACATTACAATAATCACTAATTAATCTTTGGTGTTTACATTGCACAGAAATTCTCATTCTTACAAACGTAATACTTAATTCAAGATCAAATATATGAAAAAAATCTAATAATGTTTTCATTAATAACAACGATTTGGCACATTCGCTTCCTGCTTCTAAATTACATAAATATTAGATCGAAGAGAATAGAGTAAAAGTAACTAACACAGAAGACACGGGTTAGATAATGTAAGTGTGTTCGTTGCAATTATATTCAGAGTCAACGAACTTACAATGAGTTCATTAAACTCAAACGATAGCTTTTGTTCACTGATAGGAACACATAAATATGCATGCTGATGCAGATTATGACATACTCGATCAGGATAAGGTCCTATATAGCAACGAACACATTAATACTAATACACATATACTAGGATAACAAATAACTATTAGTGATACAATAGACGCTACAGGGACTAAAACTGAGAAAGGCGACGCAGTGACGTCATTTTGTAAATTACAGTAAACTATTTATGAATATCTAATCATATACCTCACGGTATTACAAAAACCTGTTAGAATCTGTTAAAACACGATATTCATTCTTTTGCACTAGCAGAGCAGGCTATTGCAGTGGTTTTTGAATAGGTGGGCTAACATTCTTTTACCAATGTCATTGCTGTCTCATGTCGCATCGAATTGTCTCATTGCTAGGATGAGCGAGTCAAAAAACCTAGAAAACAGCTAATCAAACAAATAAATCACATTTTAAGCAGTTCATTTTTAAGACGTAATTGTGAGTACAAAACGTCACTTTCTCGTGCATTTACAAATTTTTTTCCAGTTTGCTGATGGCCATCGTCGATATAACGCGCTTTGAAAATAATTTTGAACTTTATTAAATCTTAATTTAAGTTTTTGTATAAAACAAAATCATGTAGCAGAAAATGGCGCTCAGTATCTTGAAGTTTTCGTAATACCCGCAAATATACTCGTATATTATTTATAGATTGGAATCAAGAGAACGGATATTCACCGTTTGAATGTAATAAACTATTTGTTTTTTAAATTCGTTAGATTTAAATGATTTGTGATGACTTTCCATTTTTCGTTCTATTAGCACGGTTAGATGTACAATCAGTGGTGCTATGGGATCAGCTCATTAAAATGTTGAATTCGTAAAAAGCTGCCAATAATGAGCCCTTGTAAACACTTTATGTTATGTAATTATACCTTTTATAAGCCAATAGCTGACACAGACGCAACAGCGGTCTGACATCTTGATCGAGACACAAATAACCCTAGCGCAATGCTATAATTTACCAATTCTGAATCCAAATCTTATATACGGCCACTGCCTGATAAAAATCTGCTTAAACTACTTTATAAGAATACATAATTACATACAGACTTTTGAATCATGTCTAGTGTGCATGGCGTAAAATTTGATATTCTTTTGCTATGATTCATCTCAATTCATTAACCCCTCATTAAATACACCAAGCTACCCACAAAACATTATTAACCACAGCTCTAATACGTTTAAGAACTATCCCACTGATTACTCGAAGAAAACATTTAATAGACCTAGCAGCAAGACAAACCTACACACCTCCTAACCTCATTCGGGTCTCACACAGTCAGATCATCGTTACCGACTTCAATATCTAGAGTGGATTAAACCTAACCGTGTCATTCTGTTAAATCTCTGCACGCATCCAAGTACATTGCTGATTCCGAGCTGCGACAACAATGAATTGGTTTCATAGAAATGTAAATATTGGTAGAACGTCACTTGAGCTGGCATTATATACGGCTTTTCAATTGGTAAACGAGTGTTAGTATGAATATAAGGAAGAGGGTGGGTAGATTGCGATGTGCGTTGTTGTACAGAGCTCGCACGGTGTGGCGGGCGGGCGCGGGGGAGGGGTGCGGGGCGCGACGCGGGAACACCGCCACCGACCCGCCGCCCCCGCTCCCCCCTACCGCTATGCACCATACCTATAACAACATATATTATGTACGGATATGCAGTGCCGGATGGGTAGCGACAACAAGGAAGCAAGCATCGGTTATCGGCGGACCAATCACACGCCGGTGAATCAAGAGTACAGTCGCACGCGCGTGATGCATCCGATCTGCTTGGATACATTGGCCGATAGGAACGATCATGGCCCAACGACTATTGCGACTTATCAGGTATTCAAACGATTTAATTCTAACGACTAGAGATGAAACTTAAAAATCATCTGAAAATAAAAAAAATACGTAAAGGTTGCTGTGAAACGCCTGCTCTCCCAATACATCCAAAGGCCAACAACGAGGCTTCTTTGAAATTTAATGACATATATTTCCCAGCAGTACGAGTATTCCAAATGCCACTTATGCAGGACTAGTCCCCACATCATTATTATTATATTTGTAGGAAGCATGATTTCGAGTAGACACAACATGAAGTGATCTTGTATTACACGCTCTATCTGACGTGAGTTGAGGAAATAATAATGAAAATGAGGGGGAGTTATTTCTGAGATTTGTTAAGATTTGTATTCACCTACCTCAGCCTTTCCCAAAGTGGGCGATTACGCCCCCTTGTGGGTGCTGCAGGCCTAAAGGGGGGGCGGTAAGAGACCCAGAAAAAAATTGGGGGAACTGTGTAGAAGCTTGGGAGGCGATTTGTAAATTTATCTAGGAGGACTCTTAGATACCGACTGAGCTCTCGCTATAGTGGTCTTTTAGTAGGTGATAAAATGGGGGCGCCAAAAAATAATTTATTCTCAAAGTGGGCAGTAGACAAAATAAGTTTGGGAGCCCCTCGCCTACCTCATCAGGCTCGGTGACGTGTAGCACGGCTCTCCAGCAGTGCTGGGCGAGGTCCGGCAGCAGGTCGGCGGGGGCGGTGACCCCGCGCCGCAGCCACAGCACGCGGAGCGCCCGCCCGCACGCGCCGCACTCCAGCCGCCAGCCCCCGCGCGCCGGCTCCGCGCTCAGAGCCGTGGCCGTCGCGCCGCCTGCGTGTGCCACACCATACAGCTAGCAGAGTCCGTGGACAACACAACGATACCCTTTTTGACGTGACAACGTCTTATAATTCGATGGAGCCGGCTGCACGCACGAAAAAACATGACTCGCGAAAAAACATGATGCGGCGTTACCTCGCTCTGAGGCGTATTTTCTTATGAAGTTGTCACGTTCATCTATCGTCAGTAAACCGACTTTACAGACAATCGATTTTTTTTTTCTTTTTTCGGGCCGGGGGCCGAACCTCCTACGAGGTGGTTCCGTGTCTAGGGGCACGCGGGGTATGTAGGATTCAACGGTCTGCAAGGTGTTGTGAGCAGACCGCGGCCCAAGGAATTTTAGGGTCCACCCGCTAAACGACTCCCCTGCACTCTTACACCCGATTCCGTGCGTGGTCAAAACCCGGTCAGAGTAGGGGGGGTTCCCGCGGTCAACACTACAACCAGACAAGCACAAGGATACCCTGACCCAACTTATAATAAGCTTAACGATAAGAAAAAAACATTAGTATACTCGAAGACTCTCTAAGATTGCAGTCTCCTAAGTCTGCATTAGCAAGACAAAAATGATGGTCTAAGTTGTGAATGATTACAAGCCTTATTAGGTTAGAAAGCCCATATTAAAATGCTTTGTAGTAGATATAAGGTCAACCAACACTTGATTCGTTCCATACTAACATAAATGAGATGTTTTTCTACGGCATGCAATCAAACGCATTTACCAGTAACCCTGAGCGTGACCCTCTTCAACTCTCGAAGCCGCATGAGATCAGGCGCCCGCGCACCGACGCACCGGTACTCCCCTCCCTCCTGGTACAACGCTTCCTTTATACCTGACAGGATATCTCATCGTTAATTTATCTACCTTGTCCTGCGCCTTTACCGCGGCAGTCTCCGAGTGCCACACGTCTTTTTTTTTTTAAAGTTTATTTTATACAAAAGCTTAGCTTAGATTGAAACACGACGAAGTCTGCCGGGTCAGCTAGTGTACAATAACATTAATATCAATTGAATATAAGTGAATGAATTGCAGACGAGAACTTTACAGTTTACTGACCGAGCACTCCGTGCGCGTGGTGGGAGCCGGCCGGCGCCCAGCTCTCACTGGAATTGCCGACCACACGCCGCCACCAGCACCCAACACTACCTGTTGCGTTTTAAACAAAACCTGTAACCTCTCCTCAGCAAGTAGATCTTACGTACTAATCTATACTTAATATTATAAAGAGGAAAGATTTGTTTGTTTGTTTGTATTGAATAGGCTCCGAAACTACTAAACCGATTTGAAAAATTATTTCACTGCTTGGAAGCTACACTATTCCCGAGTGACATAGACTATAATTTTTTTTGAAAAAAATTGGGGATCCTTACTAAAACTCCAATAATGTAACCCAACGTGTAAAAAAATACCTATAACATTCTTTACATCGCATGCCCTGCGAAAGCTATTGATGTTAGAATAAAATAATGTACTACGACTTTGTAAAACACATTATTATTTACGAAATGCTTCGTGACAGCATGTCTAACTATTATAGTTGTGCCCCAATAAGTGCTCTTTTATTTAAAAAAATAAAACAACGTCAAATATCGTTGAAATTTTTGTTAAAGACCCGAGCGGAGCCGGAGCGGGCCGCTAGTTTTAGGATTAGGATGATACTTAGGAGTTTAAGCTCCTTTTTTGCTTGATCAAACTATTATACTGTGAGGAGCTGCTAATCGGATCCATAATATTATCGAAAATCATGATAGCACACCGGAAAGAAGAGAAAATTAGCATTACGTAAAAGTGGAAGAACATTCCAACATCAGTTAGTATTCTCATAATATCAGCTGATTTAAACGGCTATTTTAACATCCTGTATTTTACGTGTGAAGTGTGTATACTTTATAGCATATAAAGTATACACACTTATATATTATAGCATAGCATAGCATAGTATTAGCATAGCATCTAGTATATAACTTAATTAATAGGTGTAATCTCGTATGTCCTCCTAATAAGGCGGACCACCCAGAAACATAGGCTTCTTCATAATTGTAAGCTAGAATTAAGATGATTATTAAGCATGGAATACACGCAAGAAGACGTTTTCCTTTAACACCTCCCAAAGTACAACATTACACGTGCAATTGGTAAAAGCTCCATCTCCTTACTACCTTTGGGGCAATGTAACTGCACGTTTCCACCGAGAGCCACCTCTACTTTTTGATGGTCTGGCTCCTCTTCGACTTCCTCTGGCTCCGTTACTGGTTCTGTGTTCTCTTCGGGAGCTAGACCGGTGGAGCAAATAATTAGAGCATCTCTAAGAGAAGAATGTCAAAGCAAACTGTAACTTAGTAAGTTATACTGCTAAGAGTTCATTCGAGTTTGAATCAACAGCAGAGATATGTTGGTAACGACACGCGCAATAGAACTATCCAGTATAAACCATCTGTACATTATGTAATAATTGTGCTATGTTAGCAATTTGTACGGTTATTGTCTTCAACTCTTCTAATATTATTTTATTTTCAGGTTTTTTTAATTAAAGTATCGAACGAAATCTGCGCTCAAGCATTTGAAACTAAGTCTGTTTCCATGCTGTTGCGATTATTAACTGTACATAGTGTATATTTGTAAAAGTCACGCTTATGAGTAGGCAGCGGTATGATGATGTTATGGTAACTAACACCTACAATATGATCTCCTGTTGTGGACTCGTCTATTGCTGGCGCTTTGTTAATCTGGTACTCCTTGACGACTCAGATTTGACGGTATTTTGTCACATAGGTTAATTTACTCATGTAAGCCGGGAGATGTTTATATTTTTTTTTTATTGCTTATATGGTTGGACGAGCTCACAGCCCACCTGGTGTTGAGTGGTTACTGGTGCCCATAGACATCTACAACGTAAATGCGCCACCCACCTTGAGATATAAGTTCTAAGGTCTCAGTGTAGTTACAACAGCTGCCCCACCCTTCAAATCGAAACGCATTACTGCTTCACGGCAGAAATAGTCAGGGTGGTGGTACCTACCCGCACGGATTCACAAGAGGTCCTACCACCAGTAATAAGCAGTTATATCTGGCAGTGGACGACTGTGGGCTAATATTGATGAATTAGAACAGAAGTTTCGCACGTCCAAAATTCAATAGTTACTCACAGAGCACGTTGAGGTAGTACCCGATGGAGGAGTAGTCCGTGTCGAGCCAGGTCGCCCTGCACCGGTACCAGCCCGCATGTGCAGCGCGGAGGGTCTGCCAGCGGAGTGTGGCCGCACCCACACCTGCATCCCCACCCTCCTCTGCAGGGGGGGAGCTGCACCACACAATGTACGACATCATGGGAATAGTGGGAAAAACTCTTTGTAAATTTTCACCACGGTGGTGCGCTGGTTCTATATTTTTGGAAGGAATTTTTTGCTGGGGCGGGTATCGCTGAAGATGCACAAAAATAGGGGAAGGCCGAGGCTAAGCTATGAGGAGTAGACGTACACGCACACGCCGCTTTTATTTAAATATTTTTATGGACTCTTATTAATTTTCTACTAAATCACGAAATAAATCAGCAAACGAGCATCCAGCGCACTTGGAGTTAACTGGGCAGTCGCAGATTTCGTCGGTGCGGTAGCATTCGGTATTAACTATTAGTCGAAGACAGACAAGATAGACCATCAAAGGATCTTAGGGCATGTATTGTAATGGATCGATGCCGCTACGTACTTGTGAGCCTGAGTCTGATGGACAAGGTACTGGTTATACAATACAGTTGGGACTTCGACTTTATTAATTAAGGATAGAGCGGCAGTCACATAATGTTGTTCTTAAGCGTCAGTAGCCACGTGTGTGTATTTACTCGTTTACACCATTAATCAAGTTATTGCCTGAAATTCCAAAGCGTACGGATCATAATACCTTGTGGGACTGGCATCGTCCCTTTGCCACCACGCTCTGGCCGGCGGGTTGGCGTCGACGTCACATCTCAATGCGGCCGCTCCTCCAGCTGATAGTGATACTCCAAAACCAGGCCAGCGAGATATCACGAATGATGGAGGATCTAATTACGAAGCAAAATAGATAAACAAAACACGTAGCAGTACGGTTGAAACTCTTCAGAAAGTTCTGCACATACTGCGCCACTGCGAGAGTTTGGACAAATGCTAATATGAAGAGCGGTAAGATTTTCTTTTATTGCTCTAGCCTCTACTTCTTGTCCTAATCCCACTACGTGGAGTCGGCGCGGTATGTCCTCTTTTTCCATTCAGGCCTATTGTATACTAGATTGTATTCAGGCCTAGTTATCTCTGCACTCACCCTTCTCTCGCGTATCCTCTTTCACACAATCCATCCAAGTATTTTAGTCATTATCTGCAACATTCTCCGCAATTTTTTTATTTATTGCTTAGTTGGGTGGACGAGCTCACAGCCCACTTGGTGTTAAGTGGTTACTGGAGCCCATAGACATCTACAACGTAAATGCGTCACCCACCTTGAGATATAAGTTCTAAGGTCTCAGTATAGTTACAACGGCTGCCCCACCCTTCAAACCGAAATGACTGCTTCACAGCAGAAATAGGCGGAGTGGTGGTACCTACCCGCGCGGACTCACAAGATGTCCTACCACCAGCGATCGAAAGATACTTTTGACTACTGACAAAATATATACTCACAAGTGACATGTATCTCTAGTTTAGCGGTCTGCACGTCGTGGGAGGCTGTGGGCTCTATAGAAGGAGGCAGGTTTGGCTTCCGTTGCTTTGCTTCGCACTGGAGAGTCGCGTTATGTAGCTCGCGTGCTGCTGTAACGGCCGCGTGTGACACCGACACGCCCTCTGTGTGCGCGATTACACATTACTCCTAGAAGTCGGTCCGTTTGAACTGTACATATTTATTTTTACTTTTTTTTCCGACCTATGATGCCTTGAGAGGCAATTTCAGCTTCACCCTAACGCTTGTAAGTGAGTTCACGGGACTCAAACCGGAGTGTTGCTAACACTGGCCCTGGAAAGAGCAGTGCTTCGCAGAATCTACCACCGGATTGGAAACGCGACCCACTGAGAAGATCCGGCGAGAAACTCAGTGGGCTGTGTCTGTGGGTTAATTCGCTCGTGGAGCCCTTCGTCGCAAGCGACGGTTTTGACGAGGACGGTGACCGGTGCTTGTGGTACCTGAAAGCACCGTTAATGGATCAGGAGGATCCGTAATTATGTGTTTTGTTTTTACGAGTCACGTATAACCACCTTTATCGCAACGTTGAAGTATGGTTGATTTACGCACAGTACTCTGTCGTGAAGTATCCTTTACTGTCCCTTCAGTTCTATAATGAATACAAAACATATGTTCTTCGATTTCTAATGTCCACAACATGACCAAAGAAACTTATAACATTATGTGCTTGGCTGTTTATCGTAAGACACGATAAAGGAGATGCTATACAAAGTACGCACCGATAGAGTAATTAGTGTGATGTATCCTCAGATACGGTCGATGGTCCAACGTTGGCTCCAGCGCTATCAGTCTCCACGACAACTCCGGTGGAGGAGCTCCACCTGTGCAATTACCAAATACTATATTTGTCCAAACGACAGACGAGTTTGTGAATCAGACAATCAATTCAATCTTAAAATTTAGTAACTACATTTTGTTTCCTTCTTAAGATATGCTGTGCTGTACAACGTGCCTGAAATTATTGGTTATGCCAATACTAATTAAATTATTATATATTAGTGTGCTAGTGACTATCAAATATTCAATTGTAACAAAACTGTATTCTTGGGATCTGCTGATCAGCTCGAAGGGATATTTTAGGGAAGTTTTCTTCGTGGTCAAATAGTTTCACTTTAGCAACTATTCCAATCAGAGTTGGCAAACTAGTAAAATAAGTCATGTGCGGAAGTAGTGTGTAGTAGTGTCCATCACCTAAAGCAGGTTTCACCTAAGAATTAAAGTATTTTTTTACAATGTGCAAACAGACACGCTTCTGTCGCGACCTAATACGGTGAGGTTAGCTCCATCAGCGACAACTCACCCTCAGCGACACATCGCACCTCCAGCTCGGTCTTGTCCCTGACCGGCACCCAGGTGTTCCCCGCGTCGAGTCTCCGCCCGTCCACCGCTAGGTACACCGACCGCACCGGCTCTGTGCACAGAGACAACCTTTACAATTATTATAATTAGGTTAGGACTTTTATTACTATAATTTAATGTTGTACAAGTCGTGTGTGTCCCGTAAATATGCGCATCTAAGTAAGTCTCGCAGTTGGTCCCACAGAAGCCGTCGACGACACAATAATGTGCGTAATGCGGTATTGATGGCGGCAGCTGTAGCCCAGGCTCCGCTAACTGTGGAATGATCCATCGGACGGAGAACTTTTCTGTCTTGTCAGAAGCGGCTTGGCAAAATTTCGGGTTCAGCAGACATTTTATTTTATTTCTATTGCCTAGAAACTAACTTACTTCGTGTTAAAATGGTTACCGGAGCACATATACAACAGACTGTGTAAATTCCGTCGCCCACCTCATGACATGAGGTTGAAGTCATAAGGGTATGTGGTAACGGTTGTCCCATCTGTATTACTGTTTCGCGGAAGTAATAGACAAGTCGGCGATGCCTACCCGTGCGAACTCACAACAAGATCGGTTAAGACTGTTTTGGGACTCTACGTGGAGAATTCTAGATCCTATTTATTCGATAAACTCAAGGTCCATGTGATGATAGGTGGTTATTACAATGTAAATTCCGCTGTCTATTCTGAGACATTAGATTGGATCCGCGTTTGAATTGATATTAGGGCCATGCGCCCGTTTCAAGACTGCAGCTCTCCTCAGACCCGGGCGTAGACATTACCTTGACATTCAATAAGCATCTCACACGATTACAGCATCCATGGTGATCTAAGTGAATTTGATTAGAAACCTATTTGAGGGTTTTTAATGAAATGAATTATGTAATTCAACAGTTGCGTACAATATCTCATTGTATCTGTAATCTAAGTCATACCATAGATGAGCAGCCTGGTCGGTTTCCCAGCAATGGTCTTGCCGGCTTTATCAACTCCAGCACAGCGCCAGTTGCCGGCGTCTCCTCGCGTGGCTCGTCCCACCACGGCTGTGTCGGCTTCCTTCCATATTGCTTCTCCCCCACCGCTCGATGAGGGCAGGTTCATTTGCTGGTGGAAATACCCATATATTTACTTACGCCTTCAGACTAGAATCGGTACATTTATTGTTATTGAATGTTTGTAGATAAATGTAATAAAAAGACCTATGTAATTGCTACAGCTACCTATGTAATTGTCATAAAACGTTTTAAATGAATGAATACAGGTTAAAGAAATAAATAGTATGAGCCCGTGAGGTCTCGACTTTTTTTCATTGCCCTTGTCGGCAGACGATCACACGGCCCACCTGATGGTGAGTGGTTACCCTCGCCCATGGACTTCAGCAATGCCAGGGGCAGAGCCAAGCCGCTGCCTACCGCACTCGACTCATCGCGGAACAACGAACAAGGAGCCTCACCTCGTTATCCTTGTACCACCTCACGCTGGTGACGTTCAGAAGGTCGCACGGTATCGCGGCGCGAGCGTGGGCCTCCACCACTAGCTCCCGGTCATACTTCGGTACCTGCAGGGGTACCAATACTAACATGAGACTTACCAATTAACTGGATCTTTCTCAAGTCGACTTTTCTAATATGTTGTTGTTTTATTGCTGAGATGGACGAGCTCAGGGCTCACCTGGTGTTAAGGGAGCCCATGGACGTCAACAACGTAAATGCCGCCACCCAGCTTGAGACATGAGTTCTAAGTCTTAGTTTTTACAGTACAATGACTTTCCCACCGTTCAAATCGAAATACATAACTGTTTCACGGCAGAAATAGGCAGGGCGGTGGTAGCCGTGAGTTAATTTATATAACATACTAGCTGACCCGGCAGACTTCGTAGTGCCTCAATCGATAAATGAAAGACCTAAACTTTTGTATAAAATAAACTTAAAACAAACAAAATTGTTATTTTTATTTAATTCCGAGCATTTTCATATTTATCTACATTTTAAACCTTTTCTGGACTTCCACAAATAATTTAAGACCAAAATTAGCCAAATAGGTCCAGCCGTTCTCGAGTTTTAGCGAGACTAACGAACAACAATTCATCTATACTAATATTATAAAGAGGAAAGATTTGTTTGTTTGTTTGTTTTGAATAGGCTTCGAAACTACTGAACCGATTTGAAAAATTCTTTCACTGTTTAGGAGCTACAGTATTTCCGAGTGATATAGGCTATATATAATATTTCTTGATAAAAGTTAGGGATCCTTACTGAAACTCCAATAATGTAACCCAAGGTGTAAAAAAAACACCTAAAATATTCTTTACATCGCGTGCGCTGCGAAAACTATTGATGATAGAATAAAGTAATCTATACTAATATTGTAAAGAGGAAAGATTTGTGTGTTTTTACATATACAGATTATTCTTACTTGACTGGTCGAAGGTTGTACTCTAGGCTGGTCGTGCATGGGCGGCCGGTGTTGTTGCGCCGGGCGTATGACGAACGTGTCCAGTCGGGACGAAGCCCGCGGTCCGGGGGCAGCTCCGGCGTCTCCGATGGCGTCCCGGACAGCACCGCGAATGTTTAGAATCGTGTCCCCAGTTTTAACACGACGACTCGTAGTCTACTCGAAGAATATCAATTGGTATCAATTACTATTGTTACGCCGGTAAGAGTAGCGCCATCTATCGCCGAATAGTCGAACGAATATCGAAGGATCCAGAATGCTCGAGAATTACAGCGCCATTTATTGTGAGATAGCAGGAACTACGACTAGAGAAGTGTGGAATATTCTCGATGATTCTAGGGATGAGGTATCGGCTATAAAAGCGTTGCAGAGATGGCACGCACTCAGTAATCGGAACTACTCGAAGCGAAACAGCGAACGGATCACCTGAAGCGAAGCGGAACAAGCGAATCGGGAGTTTTAAAGTGTTTGTTGGGTGTTTTAAAGTCTTTAAGTGTTTCAAGTGTTGAATAAAATTTTTAAGTTGTATTTGGTGAAATTTTATTTATCCCGAACCCCAGCGCGTAACAATATTGTAATATACGATTTTGATGTTATGAAAATGTATAGTACAGTTTAAGCTTTGCACTAAAGACGGAAATCTTCAAAATGCCAGCAAGAACACTAGTTTAGAAATTTTCAAATAACGCAGGACGGAAACTGGAGCTTTCAGAGGGCATAAAGTACACGTCGTCGCTTGCTTTAAGACAAGAAGTCGATACATCAAGTGCATTGGAATTTATTCTTGCTCTACATAAAGTCATTACTCTCTCGTGGTCGGAGTGGCCACTAGATGTGGACCATCTCTACCATTTACAAAAATACGACTAGAAAGATCAAAATATGATGTAGCAATTAAATCATCCTAATTGAAACTAACCTTAGTTCTGTCCCACTCCTGTCCGGTACTTCTCTTATCTCTTTCTCCGTTCTCTTCGTTTTGTACCTTGGTTACGCGTTCAGTCTCGTCGGGGGTGACTAGGTCTCTTTCGATGCTGGTTTCTACGTCGTTGTAAGGGAGTTCAATTTCATTAGTGTCGCGGAGTGGGGGGTAGAGGGGTGCGTCTCGGACTAGCTCCGCGTCCAGTTCAGGTGAAGGGGACGCGGGGGAAGAGGAGCTTTCTGAACTCCAGTCTGTTCTGGCGAAGGGGAGATCTGTAAATAAACGAAATGGTTAGAGCCAGTTTGTAGACATCTAACGTCTAGAGTTGGGCGTTGTCGTTTTGTAACCACTTAACATCGACTGAGCTATGCATCTTCTCGACATTAACAATTTACTTTGCAAAAGTAAGATCACATTTGATGAGCATGTAATGCAAGCCAAATACAACAGTGGCTCCCTGCTTTTCAACTTTACAAAATATGCATATAAGTAAAAGCTTTTTCGAAGATACATATGTGTGTCGCGTAGACTTATGAACCACAACTGGTGTCCCCAGAGGAACGGTTCCCAACTTCGATCAACAATGTTGATCGAAGGTTCCCAAGCATCTTTTACAAGCCACCAATAATATTCAGATGATAATATATCGACGCTTGAAAGGCAAAAGTGACTAAGCGACAATAACTGCTTTGTACATAAATGATAGGCAATAACCATATTCGATGCGCAAAAAAAATATATTTCTAGGTCTATTAAAATAATTTCAATCCTACAGCTACTAGCTAGATTCTACTACAGCTGGATTCGTTAAAATAAATTTTGTTTTCAGGTGTTTCAACTTTAAATTAGTCTACTGTAAAGTTCACGCATTCTCGCTTAGTCACGTTTGCCTTTCAAGCGTCGATATGTACTTATTGTTTTAACACATTTAGTTTTCGTGCATCTGCTGCTTTGTAAAATCGTTACCTCAGAGGCAAAAACTGTAACTAATAACACTCCCATAACTATCTATTGTTTTAAGTTAAACTATTCTGATTTACCAGCTTCGTTTTGATTGGCTTTTGGCACAATAGAAAACTCAATATTTCCTAAATATTTACGTATCACAAATTCGCTCGGCTAAACTTTAAGCTTTTCAAACCTCCCGCTGTGGTCTTCCATCAAACAAAATTGATGAAACAAGAGCCACTTTCGCCCCTCGATTTAAATAACCAATTCATTTCGGCTAACTCCAATTTGCAAATTCTCAGACAAATAACCGAAAAATAAAGTTTTTAATTCGGCAGGACGCTGATTCACGCCTCAAAAATACGTAACTACGTACAGAAACAAATTGAACGGAAGCCGGAAAAGTTTCGAATAACTTCGGTGTTTTGTAGCTTATCGCTAGCTTGGTACAGCTTTGAGAAATGAACCTAAAACTGTTTGTGTTAACGTCTTATTTCGTTTGTCTTCGATTTACGTGAAACGAGTTTGGCGGTTTGGAAGTAAAATGTTTTTTAACGGCTACCAAATAGGAATGCTATTTACTTGATGTTGGTTTGCGAATTTCACCAAACAGCTTCAAGATAATTGAGAAAATGACTGGGCTGCGTTAGCAGTTTTTCATTGGCATAGTTAAACAGATATACATGATTCGATATGGCCTTCGATTTGGATATCAGAAGTGGATGTTAGTTTCTGACTGAGCACCATCAACTCACGACGAGGTGTTGACAAGTCTCCACAACTGAAGCGTCTCATTCAGTTCGCTAAATACATAACGATCGCCTTGAGACATCAGATCGAAACCCCAATTCCACTGGAATACGCCTTCCTCCACAGCAGTAATAGTCAAAACTGGTGGCATCACCTTGATGAAACTTCACTTGGTCTTATTTCTCAGAGCGGTAAGATTAAAAAACATTGTCTTAATGGCGCCAAGTCTTGAAGATACGATATCGAAATTCCTCACGTGAAGCCGGTTCCCCCCGCGCCCCTCCCGCACCCCTCAGACTCCTTACGTTCCCGTCACACTGATAACGCCAGGCGCTGTAAAACTTGATAACGAAACTATATAATCGCGATCAAAATAACACGAACTATTTATGTATTAAATTATGATATTCTCGGTAAAGAATATTTTCTATTGTACGAATGTACAGTGTGCTCCTGGTCAAACTTAATTATTTTTTGTTTGAACCTGTATTACTGGTGATAGTGCGTACCGTGCCCACGCGTGGAAGTACTATTACCTTGTTTATTTCTGTCATCCAGTATTCCGGTGTGTTCAGTGGGGACACCCATTACAACTTCTACTCAACGCCAGCTGGGTGGTGACCATCGTCTTGCACACCGTCAGATTATTATTACTTTGTCAGTAGGGCGCTTTTAAATCTAAATTGTGAGGTGTTTGCCACTCTACAGTTAGTAGTAGTAGTTAGTAAAGCTGAACCATTTCTCGTACAGGACATGTGGATACTTTTGGTGACGTAGGCATTAGTGGCACCTTCCTTCCGAACGATCTCTTCTAGCGGCACTCTATTGTGATAACCTTTACATTTATTATAAGTATTCCAATAAACGATTGAGTGTGTCGAATAAGTATATTGACTATAGCAAATATCCGTCTGTTTGCAGTAGCGCTTTGCCCGAACAAGAGTCGAGTCCTCAGTAGTCGCGAGGTCACCCCTCGGACCTCCTCGCGGGATGTTGACTTTGTTACGAGGCCTGTGTATCGGATTATATATTTAGACCTTTGACCCGAAGCTCAGCTGGTCCGTTCAGATGTTCACTTTGGAAACCAATGAGGCTTTAACTAATATTACTATACACTACAATGAAAATAAAATATAGATACGTGTACAGGACTACTTGACTCCCTAATCTGTAACCACAAGGGCTCATTTGAAGTATAGCAAGCTGCTTGCTCTACGGAGGTATACACCGCACCGATGATAATAACCACTCACCATCCACAGTATGCGGATGATGCCTCTGATGGCAAATATATTATATCAAAAATCTGCACCAAGAAGGGTTGTAAAGAAAACCGAAAATATTGCTCGAAAGTAACGAAGAATACTTATATAAGAGTATTATTATTTGTACTAAAGCTGTACACCGATCCAGGGTCGGGCGTCAGCTGGTCGCCAGCGGGGCCGTGCTGCCGCGGTGTGCCTTATTGAATGAATGAATGAATGAATGAATGAATAAATGAATTTTTTAAAAATAATTATCAGTTGAATACATTTAAAATATTCCATTCAACTGATATTATTATTATTATTAATTTTTTTTAACGATAATTAAAAAGAAAATTTAGCTGGACCCAGTGACTCCTGACAAATAATTTGCCAGATGTGAGCACGACAGAGTGTTACTTGTACATTGCCCTCGCAGGAGATGTGATCAAAGGCCTCGATAGGTTTTTTTTATTATTTTTTATTGCTTAGATGGGTGGACGAGCTCACAGCCCACCTGGTGTTAAGTGGTTACTGGAACCCATAGACATCTACAACGTAAATGCGCCACCCACCTTGAGATATAAGTTCTAAGATCTCAGTATAGTTACAACGGCTGCTCTACCCTTCAGACCGAAACACATTTACTGCTTCACGGCAGAAATAGGCAGGGTGGTGGTACCTATCCGCGCGGACTCACAAGAGGTCCTATTACCAGTAAAATACACTGGTCCAGTGGCTGTCGCCAGTTACTGGACCAGTGTGAATTCGCAGTAATAATATATTTCTCGCGAAGCTCCGTCGAGATTGACAAATTCATTGAAATTTCCAATTGAATCAAATTATCGTCACAACTATTTTAAAGCAATTTAATGAAATTTCTACAACAAATATTGTACGGAGACGATTTATTCTCCGTTTGATCCTACGAGGGACAGATTCAATTAAGCATTCACGATGGATCGTTTGCAAGATAGCTATTAGATTACAAAACTGTTATTTATTTATTTATTTCAGAGTCTCGGTCGCGGCTCGTAATGGTATCACGCGTACCTAGCGTATATAGCGTATCCGAAATAACTTTTTTCTTTTTTTTCCTTCCTATGCTGATAGCCTTGAGAGGCTATGTCAGCTTATCCTAGCGTGTGTAGGTGAGCTCACGGGGCTCTAACCGGAGAGTTGCTAACACTGACCCTAGTAGCAAGAGCAGTGCTTCGCAGAATCTGCCACCGGATCGGAAACGCGACCACTGAGAAGATCCGGCGAGAAACTCAGTGGGCTGTGTCTGAGGGTTAATTCGCTCGTCGAGGACGGTGATCGGTCCCAAATCACAGGTTTGACGTTGGCTCCTTACTTCTGTTTACAGTTTTTCTTGTGAACTTATACAGAGCATTTTTTAATTTTATAGATAGGATGAAGCTGGGAACCCATCTGGGGTTAATAGACGTATTAATAGACGTTAATAGACGTCACTGAATGTGTTAGAAATCCATAAAAAGGGAATATAAGGTAGCAAAGGAGATAAGTTAGGGAAATAAAAAAAACTGTAAATGGATAATGTACAGAATTCGCGAGAAATATGAGATTGCCCAAACATACGTGAGAACAATGAAATACGCGGTTACGCTTAAAGGAATCGCTTTACACATTCCTGTGTACGTCGATCAGCAACAAATGGACCGTAAGGCTTCACGCGTGTACTGACATTGTTCTAGAAACACAGCGAGCAACATCAAAACATTCGAGAACATTCGTCACAAAGGAACCGATTATTTGATGTTTAGTAGCTCCCGTTCTCTTTGAAACATTTCCTTTGAAAAATCAGGACTGTTTTCCGAAGCGTTAATTTATAGCTTCCGAGTTATTTTTATTATTCTCAATTTCTCCTCGCATTACAACGACTCAGTGTTGCTTATTCTGTAATGTTTTATTATTTTTGTATTAAATATTCACAATTGGGAAATTCTATCTATGAGCTGATATCACTAGACCACAAACACCGCAAATTGAATTTTATCATCTCAATACGTAAACTGCAAACGTTGACTTAATGCTGTTTTACGAATATATTATTATATAATGTTGAGAAGACAATTGCAACACTCTCTGAATTGAATTTGGGGTGTACACAATATAAAAGCTGTGTTGTTAAAAATTTAAATTCCATGTTGTGTGGCAGTTGTGTGTTACATGGCGTGTTCGATAAATGAACTACTATATTTAATATATTTATTTATTTATCAAACTAATATGGCCCTGTACACTTGATTTAGCGCATAGTGCTTTAATTTTGGTTACACAGACAAAGATGATAAATAATGATGATGGTG